GATATATCAGGGATGCACAATTTGGCATTGGGCTGTAACATTTCTCTCCCATCTCCCTTTCAGCATCCTCCAACCCCCTCTACTGCAGTTGTTTCAGATGAGACATGACCTTGCTACATCTCCTGTACCCTGGTTCCTTTGGGTTCAACTGTTGGGCGGGCTGGGAGCTGTATCACCCACATAAGAGTAGATGATTACAGTGTTTGCAGACATCTAATCATGGAGTAAGCAAGCTCAGGTGATAAGCTGGTGTTAAACATCAGCTGAAGGCAGTAGGGATTAGGGGTGTGCTGGGATGTGAAATGTCTCTTCATACTTGCCAGCTGCTGAGTGATATGCAACTGGCATGGTTGTGCTTTGCCTGCAGCAGCAGAAACAGTTGTTTTCCTCTATCCCCACTGACTTACACTGTTGTGAGCAAGGGGAGAAACAGATTTTACCAGCTTGGTTGTATAAGAGAAAAATTATTTCCAGCCTGCACATTATGCATGTTTTGTTTATATAATAGGGAATTGAAGATGCAGCAAGTATGGTCATTTATCACATTGTTCATTGCTCTGAATCAGAAACAGCCCAAAAATGCTTCAAAGCTGTTGGTTTGAGAATTCTACTTTATTGACCTTGCTGTATGCTGTGTATTTTTTATCTTTAAGTAGATGCTAACTGCTTGAAATGTCAAAACAAAAAATGACCTGTGTGACTAATGGCTGATGATCCCACATGTTCTTAGCTGCGGAGTTTGGTACTCAGCCTTTGGAGACACTCTGTATGTGCTCAGGCTTGGTTCCAAATTTCTGAGGGTTCCTTTTGGACCGCATGTGGCTTGACCCAGAGCTGCTCAGGTGAATGAGTTTTCCTCTTGTGGTGGCAGGCTGTGTGCCAGCGTGGAGGGTAAGAAGGTTTTTCCCATCTTGTGGTGCTTACCATGCCACCAATAGGATGGGGCAGTTGTCAAAGACTATCTAGCTGGGGGTTGGTCTTGGAGCTGTTGATCAAAGTGGAAGAGCCTAGAGTTGAGGGGAGACTGTAAGTGCCAGGAGATATGAGTTACCTACAGATTTACAATAAAAATGCTGGAGTTGACTTTGTCTTTGGTGATTTGGGCTTTGCTGGTATCCACTTGGTTATATAACATCATGGCAGTCGAAATATTTGCCCAGTATGTTGGAGGTCTTGTGTTAAAAGTCTTTACTCTGCAAAATGCGTTCCCAAAGGTAAGAGGTCAAACACACCCCTCTGCTTAGTGCTTTCCATTGGCTGGGTTTCAATGAATTGCAAATTCAGCATGTGGTGTTTTTTTGATCAGTTTTGAGATATTGATTATTTTTTTGCATGTGGTTTGAACCTTGAATCTTGTCCTATTCTCTGCTTATTCAAAGTGCCTGAAGTAAAAATCTACTTTATTGGCACCTAAATTGCTTGAATATTTTTTTTGTAAGCACATCTGTTTAAAATTATTTTTTAAAGGTTGGATGCTTTGAAGAGGTTCCTTGTTATGCATTTATGTTAGTTACCATTTTCGTCTGGCTCTGCATACTTATTCCTTTGCCTCACCACAACTGTGGGTTTTTGATTCTGTGGCTTTTTTTGTTTTGTGGGGTGTTTTTGGTTTTTTTTTTTGGTGTTGGTTGGTTGGTTTTGGTTGTGTTTTTATATAGGATGTATAAATTTAAAATCCTCGTTGCTGTAAATTCTGTTGGTAGTGTACTGTAAAATTAGCTCAGAAGGTGCTCAGCCTGCAGTTACTCCTGATTTTGAATTTTGCTTAATGGATGCTTCAGCCATTGAAATATGTTTGTAATACAAGAGAGTTTTGAGTCTTATCAGTAAATCATGGTAATTAGTGTATCTAAGTTTCTACTTATTAAATTGAACTCTCAAATCAGCCTATGAATGCAGATACCAACACTCAAAATTGTTTTTCATCATGTCCTGTCTTATGAGTATCTTTCCCAGCTAGAGCCTTGTGCTTGTGGGTTTTAAGCAACTGGCTCAAAGTAAGTTACTTTTGTGAGCTATTAGTTTCTGTAATTTTTACTTTGACACAGTTGTGTGGTGTCAGGGTTTTTAATGTTTGAGTTCTGTTGACTCTTCTTGAACGACGAGATTATTTAAACTGAGTGTTACCAAATAGCTGAATTTGATTAAATTGCATAAAACAAACAAGAGTGTGTAATCTTGGCAAGAGCTTGTTCCTGTATCCTTCATCTGTGTTCTCACTATGTTAAATTGTTTAAATACACCCCCTCCCCCCCCCGAACAGTTAATTAGGTTATGATATATATGGTCTAAGTAAAATTTAGACCAGGCAACCTGTTCCAGTGCCCCACCACCCTCTCTGTGAAGAACTACTTCCTGATAGCTAATCTAAACCTCCCCAGTTTCAATTTAAACCCGTTACTCCTTGTCCTGTCACTACAGGCCCTTGTAAAATGTCCCCCCCAGCTTCCTTGTAGCCCTTTCAGGTACAGGGAGGCTGCGGTAAGGTCTCCCTGGAGCCTTCTCTTCTCCAGGCTGAACAAGCCCAACTCTCTCAGCCTGTCCCCATAGCAGAGGTGCTCCAGCCCTCTGAGCATCTTCGTGGCCTCCTCTGGACTCGCTCCAAGTGGTCAATATCCTTCTGATGTTGAGGGCTCCACAGCTGGATGCAGCACTCCAGGTGGGGGTCTCACCAGAGCAGAGTACAGGGGCAGAATCCCCCCCCTCGACCTGCTGGCCACACTTCTCCTGATACAGCCCAGGATGCGGTTGGCTCTCTGGGCTGCCAGCGCACACTGCCGCCTCATGTCCAGCTTTTTGTCCACCATGTTCAGCTTTTCATCCACTTAACAGTCTTGGGTTGAAAGAGATGCCACAGAGTTTTTGTATGTGGTGGTGGTGTTCTTTGTACCTATTCCAAAGATTATACGCTTGTTATTAAGCAGGTATGTTGAAGTGCCGAGTCAAGTGGTGATTATCATTTTTCAGAACCCTCATAATAACAACAGTTAATCTATAATAATGATTGTGTCTGTATCCATAAGCTAGTGGGTTGATGCTTTACTTGAAGTTGGAATGTGTTTAGAAGCAACAATCTGTTTCTAGACTGATTTGATTTTGTTTATTCTTATGGGAAGTGGAACTCTGATATTCTAACACCAGAACTAGATTTTGGTAGGATTTCTAATCGAGCCTGACCAGTTGTCTCAGTTATGGAATATGCTTGGTGTCTTGCTGAATTAATGTTATGTTTGCCAAAACCTTTTCAGCTCCAAAAAAAGAAAAACTGAGAAATTAGTTTGATCAAAACCGTTTTCTCTGAGCAGGCTTATTCTGTTGATCCAGAAAAATTGGACAGGGAAGTAAGTTTTATGACCAAAAAATTGTATTGTCTTGCCATGATGAGAGCCTCCAAAAAGTTTCCTGGATTAACACTGACCTATCTGCAGATGACACTCTGACCACCTCTGTCTTTCCAGAGGTCCTGGTGCTTGCTTTCTTTTGGCCTTAAGAAATCCTGCTAGTAGCATTCTTTAGGCTAAAAAATGTTTTTCATTAAGGAGAAAAATTAAGACAGGATTTCTTATAGCTTGTTTGGGACTGCAGAGGAGTCGAATAGGGGAGCTGAGAGCATGAACTCAACTAACCTGATGGTAATAAATCAAATGTTTGCGTATCATTAAGATGTTTTTAAGCAATAAATTCCTTTCTGTGTTTTGTAGCTACGGAAGGCTAATGAGTCTTACATAGCACCCTGAAAGCTGATAAACAGTTGTTGTTCAGACTGTGTTTGACTAGAACAAGCCTCAGCACTGAAGGACCCATCAGAGAAACTATTCTACCCACGTGTGGGCCATTTGGGTCGTTTCCAGCTAGAAGCTTTTACTTATTTGTGTCTTGGGTAAAGACACAACCTTTTAAATAAGGGCTCAAGATATTTTAGCATTTAATGATTCAGACTAACTTAGGAAAGCATGCGTTTGAAAGGTCTGATCATATCACTATTTAGGAAGCCTGTATGTTTCTTGTACATTGTGCATGGATTCAGGGGAAAATGAAGGGTAGTCTGGTGGTTTTATGTGTAAGTTTTGGAGTAGCAGGTGTAAAAAACTGGCATGGTTCAACAGTACATTTCTCTTGCTTGGGTCTAGAATTGAAAAATAATCCACATTCAACTGATTTGTTTTATTTTTCCTGTTTATTTATAAGCTCTACTTAGTTTTTGAATTCTGTGGTGTGGGCAGTGATCAGTGCTAGAATTTGCCTTGACATCTGTAGAAGAATAAAGTAACTCTTAGACACTATCATAAGGAACCAAATTGTGTAAGCACAGTTACAGCAAATAGAACTGACACAATGTGAGAGTTGTTGAGTCATGGTGAACTGTTGAGCAGCATCCCTCCTAGCATTTATCTAAGATTTCTTATTTTAAAAACTACTTTACCTGGACCTTATGGTATAAATTTTAACTAGACTTCTGTTTTTGGGGTGTGGTTTGATACTTCTCTCTTAAATAATAATAGTTTCTTGAATTTAGTAACATATTAATTATCATAGAAAAATAATTGCCCTTTTTAAGGAGGTATTTTGATAGATGCAAGTTCGTATTTAATGCTCCAAAGTTGGCTTTGCTGTTTCTGCATTTATAATCCAGGTTATTCTCTTAAATGCCCGTCTCATTGAAAGATGGCAAGGACATGGAATATGCAGCTTAAACAAAAAAAAAGGCATTAACAAATTTAATAACAATGTGAGCTGTATCAGTGCTATAGCCATAATTATAAATTGGTTGGTGCTGACCTTAAGACCATATTTAGGCTGAAATAAATTTTAGACTGGCTTATATTGATACAGACTTTGTATCAAGGGGATAGTTATCCAAATTGCTATTTAAAAAGAAATCTTACTCTAAATGGGGATAAACATGAATTTTTCTTAAAGCTGTTTTTTTTTCTTACTCTTTAATAATGCTTTTCTAGTGATTCAGGTGTTTAAACGGTTGTCATCTGCTCTTTCAGTGTAGAGATTGGTGAAAGTGTGAGAGGAGAAGATGTTTACATCATCCAGAGTGGCTGTGGAGAAATAAATGACAATTTAATGGAACTGCTCATCATGATCAATGCTTGCAAGATTGCATCGTCCTCCAGAGTGACTGCTGTAATTCCATGTTTTCCATATGCCAGGCAAGATAAGAAAGACAAGGTAGGTAAGAAATGTGTAACTTTGGAAGTCGTCTTTTTTTTCAGCTTATTCACTTGAAATTTTTGGAGATTAAACATATTTTCATAAACATTGAAGTGATTTGAAGACTTGCTTTTTTTCATCCTTTTTTGGTGAAATGTTCAACGGCCTCATCTGTATGAATGAAGTGAGACAATTTTTGTTTTGCTTGTGTTTTTGATAATTGACACACTTTCAGTCTGAAAAAGTAGGTACATCCTATGTCTATGGTATATTACAGACTACTCTGCTAGCAAACCTCACCTTACAGGACTTTTTCCTGCTTTTTCTAGCTGCCTTTTTTTTTTTACTCTATATATGAAGAGAATACACCCTTTTAAACCTTTTAATTGCATGGAATTAAATCCTAAATTTGAAGTGCTGTAACCATTATGTAGATGGTTTTTACCCTATATGGTTAAACAGAGAGCCAAATGGAAGGAACTGATTAAATCTGCAATGCAGAACAGTAATTAATAAAAACATTATTTTATGCTGCAGGGCAGATTTGAAAAGTTTTTGTCTGTAATAATTATTTTTATTGATGCAGACCAAAAATTATGTGAAAACCTCATAAATACTCTTCTGATCTTAGTGCCCTTTTCCTGAATTTGGTCTGCCATAACTGATAAATATGCCAGTTCAGACAAGTTGATAACAGTAACAAACTCTGTGGCAAGTGAGTTTGATTTTTAAAAATGCAGAACTAGACTTTTCTATCTGCTATATATACAAAACCCCTCTAATATGTTATGTGAACATTACTTTTACTTAAACTCACTTGAAACAAGAATAAATATGAATTTGGCTTTGAAGCTTGGAATGCAATGGCTGTATTTTTGGAAAATTGCCCGTCTCTGATACTTCCCGTAAGTGCACTGCCTCTTCCCTTTCACTTTGGGCATCAAGCAAACCGTCCTGAAAGCCTTCTGTTGTTCTTTACATTCATTCATATAAAACAACAGGACTGAGAAGTACTGCAGAACCTAAGTATAATAGCAAATAGTACGAAGTATGTAATATTCAGCCTGTGATGTCAGAGAACAAAACTGAATAACAGAAAAGTTATTTTCTACTACAGTCATTCTTTAACTGTAGGCTGTCTAACACCCTACTAATATTGTCAAGACCACTTGTTATACTTTCAAAAACAGAACTTGGGAGTTAGATAGTAGCTCCCTATTCTTTGCCTACAACTTTTGGAACTTCATTTTTGCTCTGTCTTGTATTGAATAATGTTCTCCCTTGATCAGGAGAGCTGAAATACTAGTTTTTATCAAAAGAGCTTGAAAGGGAAGCAATAAACCTTTTGTTGAAAAGGAAGGAAAGCTTCTCACTGTTTGGTTTCCAAATTCACATTGGAGGATTCTGCTGGACCATCCTGTAAGTTCTTGCTGTGAGAGAAGGATGAGTATGTCCCAAAGTTTCCATGCATCTACATTAATGCTTTTCAAGGGTTACCAAAATCCATGTGTCAGACTTCCAGAGACACTTAAAACCCATAGTGTGGTGGCCCTGCATGTCACCCAGGAGCATTTTGTCTTTTGGAAATGCCAAATTCTGAAGATGAATAGTCTAGGAAAGTGATTCGATTAACAGATTTTGAGCATTGTTCCAGACTTTTCTCTGGATGTCAGAGTTCTGCAATTCTAGGCAAGCCATTTCTTTATTTTTCCATTTTTTACCTCTGTTTTGCAATTGAGAAAATGTTTGCCATCTATGGAAATTAACCTTGGTAGTTGACCTCCATGTTGCAAAATAAGCTATAATATAGCTGTCAACATTGAGCGGCTTATTGACAGGGAGATCTTTCCTCCCACTGCTGGATTTCATCACATCACTTGGTCTTTGACCCATGTCCAGTGCACAAGCTTTGTATGCTGCCTGAAGTGTCAGTACCATGCCAGCCATTTTCTTCCTATGGTTATACGCAGATTTTCTTTCTTTCTTTTCTCTCTGGTGAAAGGTACTGTTATAGTGTGCTTGACTCTGAACTGAAGCTGTAGTCTTTGCTAGCTGGGTGCTGTTTTCTGATTTAAATTTAAGTTGTTGACTTCAGTCCATGAAGAAGTAGAGAGTCCTTACTGCTTGAAATAACCCTGTATTCTTCATGCTTCTGTTGCAGCTGTGGTTGCTGACAACAATGAAAGTGCTCTTGATTTATTTCTTACTTTAAGAAAAGGGCCATGCAATAAAAAAGGTCATGTTCTGAACAAGGCCTGTGTAGTCTACTCTGGATGTTTTAGTTTTAAACTTGAATTAGCTTTAAATGAGAAACAGAAAAGTTTTAAAAAAAAACCAAACCCAAACCCAACAAAAAAACCCCAAATGAAAAACAAAAACCACCCAAAAAAGGCTTGCTAAGTATTGTAGAAGAGTTGGTTATGGCAGTGCTTGATTGCATCTAAATTAAACTAGAATACTTCTGATACACAAGCTAGCTAACTTAAAACTAGCTCAGGTGTATCTGTGCTTTGGCTATAGTTGCATTTATGCATCCTCTAATTATGCTAACCTTCCAAGCCATGGGCAGGATGCATTTACATAGGATGCTGCAGAGATGCCTTTGAGATGTTAGAAGTAGAGTGACAGGTGAGTTTGGTGTTCTACAGCTCATGTAACTTTGTTTTCTTGATTTGTAGAAGGGGTCCGTGGAGCGTTGGGTAGGTATCTTTTTTTTTTTAATCTAACGCTATGCATTTCCATTAATGTGGCCTTAAAGGGTGAAACTTACTGGCTTACATTATGTATAACTGGGAACATTTTCAGTTTTACTTCTTGATATCAGTTGTGTTTCACCTAGGCCATGACAGTAATCCTGTGGAATAATGTTGCTACTAGAAAACCCCTATCTTCCAGTTAAAAATTTATCTGGACATTCAAGATAATGGCTGTCAGCTTCTTGAAGCTTCAAAGCATATCTCATTTTTGAAATAAGTTTAGGTAATACATTAGTGGACATTCAGAATCCACACACTTCACAACTGGCTTTCTTGCAAGCGAAAGTTCTAGTTATAAATCTTTGGTGTTTCTTGGATTATTTTTTTCTCAGTATGCATGTGATGCATTTTGAGCAAGACAATGTAATCAGATGCTTAAAGGCAACAGAACTTTGATCTTGATGGACAGCTTTTACTTTGTTATGTGTCCTTTCATAGTTACTCTTGTGAGGTTGTTTATATTAGCTTTGTGGATTCCCCCTGCCCTGGTAATCTTAAGAATTGTGAATAAATTTGTAATGCATCACAAAGGAAGAAGTTGTTTGTATAGCTTATTATACATATAAAGTGGGAAATTTGCTTAGGAATTAAAAACTCAGTGAATTTTTTTTACAACTTAGTTTCTGTACATAATGTAATGTTGTGTTTCACTAATAATTCTGAAACTAATCTCAAATTGTGTCAAAGAATGGAACAATGAATACTGTGAATCTCTGTTCTTGCCTCTCTGATCAGAAGCAAACATTACAAACTCCAAGATAAAGAAAATCTTAAGTTCTCCTCTGCCTTTGTCATCCAAGTTTCTGAATAATGAGGCCAGGTTATCTGAGGTTCCCATCAATATGTCTTCCTTTGATATTAAAATAATCTTCAATTTGGATCATATTGTAGCACAAAACTTATTTTCTATGCAAGCAATCAAATCTTAAATCATTTTGAACATGTTATGTGTGTTTTAATGCACAATTTTGTGTAAAGGAAACTTTCAGATAGCTGCAAACTTCATTTGTCTTAATCTCCTATTAGCCCATTCTTGAGAAACAGGTATTGGTGTCTGGCTATCCTTCCTTCCAAGACCCTCTGTCCATCAACACATAGGCAATCTGTGATGTGTGCTTGTCTGCTAAAACAAGTTACGTAGTGGTAAAGCCTTCAAGTTCTTCCTTCTGGGAAGGCAGCCTGCAAGGCCAGCAGCTGAAAGAAGTACCAACTGGTAACGTATACATTAGTATTTGATGCAGGAAAGTATTCTGGATTTTTTGGTGATGGTGATACTCATGGTATTGATACATGAGACAAGCTATGTGGTGGTCACATTGGACACAAATGGAGAAAAATAAAAGCAAAATTCAGTATTCCAGATGGTGTGGAAATGGTAAACCACCTTCTGGGAAGAATAATTTGTCTTTAGCAGCCAGCCTGTACTAGTTACTTGTTTCTACGAGAGGGGATGATCCTGGTTTGCTGCCATCTTTTCCCTTCTCTTCCATTTGAGCTGCCTCATCTGGCTGCTGTGGGTCAGAGCAGTCCCGGTGTGCAGCACAAGGGATGTGGTGGAAGTGTATAGCCTGAGAGGAAGGGATGGGACAAGCAGGAGAGCAAACGTCTGGTTTTGGCATCCCTTGTTAGCCCAGCTTAGCTGTAGCATCAAACCAGATCTTTGCAAAGACCTGATAAGAGAACATTGTGGTAGAGTCAAAATGGTTGAAACTGAATCTTTGTTTTATTAGATGTTGCCAGAAATTTGAGAGTATTTTGAAGCCCAGCTTAAAAGTGTCAGTTTGTACTGATAAGATGAACTGAAGTAATCAGGAATTTGAATGGCATGAACCAAAAGCTTACTATTAATAACAGAATATCCAGAAACCTTTGGACATCTTTGGCCTTACAGAACTGAACTTAAATGAGGAGCAGCATAGTCCTTGGCAACTGCAAAACCATCTGTGCCGAAGCGCTAATGGTAGCAAACTTTTATGGAAGCTATATGCACTGGAATTGCAGAGATCTAGGGAAGTGCTAGATGCAGCTGTAAGAAAAACTGAGATATTGCAGTCTCTTTTCTGGAAGTCCACTGGCGATCTGCAGGTTAAAACAGAGAAATGCCGAATTTCCACCTAAATTTGCAAAAGTTTTGAGGAAAATACTGTCTCCTTGATATGACATAGGCAGAAAAGGATCCAGGTTAAATTGACAGTGGTTCAGCTTATTTTGGGTTCTGCCTTTGAGCATCGGTGGAGGGTGAGCAGAGGTACTCTTCACATAATTGTGTGTGGTGGAGGGAGATAAGTTTTCTGGAAGGCTAAATGAGGCTGTTTGCTGGCATAGTATTCTCTCCTGTTACATCTCTATCAGAGTCTGACAGTGAGATGGAACCTCTGACAGAGGTTCCATCTCACTGTCAGACTCTGATAGAGATGTAACAGGAGAGAATACTATGCCAGCAGAGTCTGACAGAGAGATGAAACCTCTGAATTGCAGTTCTCCCTTCATGCTAATGTTACTGCCAGCTATTACTCTTATTTAAAGATTGGCAAAAAGAAAACAGGAGTTTCTGTATAGCATTTCTGTTACAGAGAAAACTGTCTAGGGCAACACATTTTTTTGGTTTTCCAGAGTTAAAAATCTGAAATAACTTTGGAGTTGCAAAAAAAAACTATCCTCCAGTCATGATTCTCAATCTTCTTTTTTTATGTTGGTATTATGATGCTGTTGCATCCTTGTCACTTTTAAAAAGCTCTTGACATTGGCATTAATTTTGCTGATTATATTTTTGCTCTTTGTTCTTTCTACTTCTCTGGATTTTTTTTTTCATCCTGCCCTTTCCCTTTTGGGAGTTCTAGACTCCTAATTACACCTAACAATTAAGCTTGAATTAGCAAAAAAGAATAAATAAATAGGCTGGGTTAGAAGACCCCTGCCAACATGGATGTGTTACCAGCTTTACTGTATTATGAAGAAATGTTTGATGCTAACTTTTTTTTAAAAGCAGTCTTTCCAAAAGTTGTGTTCACTATGCTTTCAGTCTTTTTGGCAGTGTTTTTTAGAACAGGACAGTTGCTTGAGAGTTGGATGTTAATGTAGGATAGTAGCTTAGAGAAATTGATATTTTCAGTCATTCTGGTATAGAAAAGCTAGCTGAGACTTAAATAAAAGAATTGGAAAAACATATCCCCAATTTTATCTGCTTGTTAGTCAGTCTACTTACTACAAAGCATTATTAGGCAGACTGGAAACTGATTTAGATATTCCTAAATGTTTTGCTGAGTTTGAAATTCCTAGTAGCAAGATTAGCTATTGACAGGCTAGTTTGGCTACAGTTCTGGAGCTCTGCATATCTAGATTCCAAATATTCTAAAGGAGAAAAAAACCAAACAACAGTAAAAGCAGCTAACTTTCCAACTCCTTGCATCTAGTAGAAATCTTCTTAAAATTTAAATATTTGTGCTTTATTCCTCAGAGCCGTGCTCCAATCTCTGCAAAACTTGTTGCCAACATGCTGTCAGTTGCTGGGGCTGACCACATCATCACCATGGACTTGCATGCTTCTCAGATCCAGGTAACAGTTTTTACCAATTGTGGCTAGGGGCTCTAATGAATGAATAGTAGAATCACAGAATGGTTTGGGTTGGAAGGGACCTTAAAGACCACCTAGTTCCAACCCCCCAGCCATGGGTGCAGGGACACCTTCCACTAGGCCAGCTGGCTCAAAAATTCACCCAACCTGTCCTTGAACACTTCCCAAGGATGGGGCATCCACAGCTTCTCTGGGCAACCTGTTCCAGTGCCTCACCACCCTCTCCGTGAAGAACAATGTGAAAGGCCAATATTAATTCTCCTTTTTTTTTTCCCCATTATTTTGCAAGTAATTTGATAGTGTAATTCTCAGGGTTCAGAGGAAGTCTCACTACTGGTCTCCAATTAATTTCCCTTTTTGAAAGAGACCAGCCTTGATTTTATAGGGTGATTCTGCAGGCACTTTGTATATTTGTGCATTGGAGTCTTCAGTGGAATTTGACAAGTCTAGTGTAAGAGCTGCCATAATATAAAATATACTCGTTTGGGGCAAGTTCTCTTAATCTTGGCTTGGTCGGTGATTACAATATTGCTTTAGGGTTTTCTTCTTACAGCCAAGAGTATAGTATTCTCTTAAGAGAAGCAGAGATGCAGGCTGGCAAACCTTAGCTGGCTTACTGCTGAATTCAGCACATCCCAAAACTCTTTCCTGACACAGAGCAGACATCATTTGTTATTCTCATATGTACCTCTTATCAAGATACCTTGTTTTTTCCTAGAAAATACCTTAATCTTCTAGTTCTGGTATTCTGTTTCATCAGAATTTCCTATTAGGCTAGATGGCTGTCATGCAAATAAAAAGCAGTTTCATTTGTGGTCTAACACAGATTTCTTGTCATTACAACTAGCACAGAAAGAAAGATTACATTTCTGCTACTCAAGTAATACTAACTTGAATCTTCCCCTTATGGAAATATTACTGTTCATGTCAAGCAGTTGAAGTTTATGGAAGTTGAGAATTAACCACTAGATTTTTTTGAAAGATTTTCACGCAAGGCTAGTGTGAAATACTGTTTCAAGTGCTACTATACATGAAAGGCAAAGGCTTGATTCTTTTCCTGTGTCTTTCTTCCAGGTAAGAAATAAATACATATTTATGAAACTCTTTCTCTTTTGGACTAGGGTTTCTTTGACATTCCAGTAGATAACCTGTATGCAGAACCCGCAGTGCTGCAATGGATTAAAGAGAACATTATGGAGTGGAGAAACTGTATCATAGTCTCACCTGATGCAGGTGGTGCAAAAAGGTACTATACAAGCCTAAAACTTCTAGTTTTCCATGTAGTTAGTAGTTAATGAACTAGTTTGTCTAGTCTGGGTTTTTTTTCCCTCTATGAATTGTGCAAGACATCACTGATTAATCCAATTGCATTGTAAAAAAAGAACAACTAGTTCTTCCTCCAATGTTGTTCATGCTTGAAAACATCCAGGAGCTTTCTATACTCTAAAGAAAGTCTTTTTTTTCTCTCCCTGGATATGGCCTCTTTAGCTGAATCCCTCTGAAGGAGGGAAGAGACTTTTCCTGCTGCTTGCTTCTTTAGTCCAGTTGCTGCACCTCTTCCTGCTTCGCTCTGGAATTGCCTAAGTTTCCCTTCTCTGTCAAAGCATATGGCCTATCCCCACTGTACCTGCTGGCATTTAGGTAAGAGCTTGCTTGAGTTGTATTTCTTTTTTTCTTTATGTTATTGTACTCCAGCTGTAAATCTATTGACCCCAATTTGTGCACTGTGAAACAAAAGCAAAATACAGAATTCAAGTCAGAAGACAGCATTTATTTCTCCTAACAAATAATTGTGTATTATCAAGTTGATCGTAAGAGTTTACCACTCACTGTATTTAACACAGACTATCTTTGGTACCTTCCTGTTGCAATGCAGTCAAGCAGTTGCTAGAGGTGTAGGGGAAGATGTTGCTTTCAACACCTTCTCCTTCATCTCCAGTAATGTGATGTAAAGAAAATGGTTTGGCCTTCCTGTTTAAAACATGTAGTCCTTCAAAAGAATACTTCTGTTACTGAAAAGTAACTAGAATTTACAGAATGTTTGTCTTAAAATTTAAACCTGTAAGCATTAAAGAAATTAAAAAAAAAAAAACCCACATCTTCTTGCACTCACATAAAGTATCTGTATTCTTTTTTTGTTTCTTATCACTTGCTTGGGTTTTTTTCCCCCAGCTTATTAGTTTTTGTGACTGCAGTAAGGCATGCAAATTCTGTTGGTATCTTAATACTTCTGAAGTATTGAGACTTGCTATGAAATGACACTGTTGTTCACAAAAAATGCCAAAACATTTGTGGGTTTTTTTGTTTATCACCCAGTTGTTGAAATACTATAACTAACAATTCCTTCATATTTAAGTGGCAAAGGAACAAAGTGTTCTGTATTAACTACATGTTAATAACCTTGTTAACAACATTCTAAATGTATTCTTAAAAGACAGTCTACAGGGTTTCACCAGCATAGAAAAAGCATAGTATTGTTTATTCCTGTGTCTTTATGCCTACCAGCTCTGGTATATTAAAAAGCCCCCAAAAAAAAGGCAATCAGAAGTCAGTGCCAAATTGAGTTTGCCGGTGGAGGTTTGTCTGGCCACCAGAGGTCACTCTGAATAGGTTTAAAAGCTCTTCGTCAAGCAGACGTATTGCTAAGGGAATTTCTAATGAAGTAAGCTACTTGATTACTAGTCAAGTACTGCTAAAAGAATTACTAATCACTATTAACTTTTTCAGTTTTTTCCCTTTGATCTGATTTCACATTCTTGCAATGGTATTTTCAGTTAGGATGTTAAAGTGCACGCTACTGTAGGCTTAGCGTTGAGGCTACCCCTACTTTTAATTGATCTGGTGTGTCTAGGGATTGCAGCAGCTTAATAAAAGGTTGTGAATAGCTGAAATGTTTTCAAAGCTAGGCACTTAATGATGGAAATCCAAAGTCAATTCAGTTAAATCTATAGATTTTTTTTTTATGAGTATAGCTTAAGACTCTCTGGTTATATTTATGATCAGTGAAATAAGATTTTTCTAACCTGTCTCATTACTTGCAAAAGTTTGTGCTGTGGTAATTTGAAAGGTAAGAAATATAAAAACTGTTTTATGACAAATACACATGCATGGCTGTGAGGTGTTTTTTTCTTTAAAATAATCCTCTAATTGTCGTGTGTTTCTTCCTGTAACTCAGGGTTACTTCAATTGCTGACAGACTGAATGTGGAATTTGCTCTCATTCATAAGGAAAGAAAGAAGGCAAATGAAGTGGACAGAATGGTCTTGGTTGGTGATGTGAAGGACAGAGTAGCGATTCTTGTTGATGACATGGCTGACACATGTGGCACGATATGTCATGCAGCAGACAAGTAAGTTTTATTGTGAAATGACCCACTGTCTGGCTGTACAGTAACCTGCAGGCAGCTGATGAACACTGTTGCTGTGTCCTGTGTGCTTGTAAGCAACCTGACCTCTAGCATACAGTTACTCTGATCCTTGAGTCTATAGGTCACAGTCCTGTTGTCAAGCTTTGTCCTTCTTTTAGAATGTGGATTTGAGAAAATATTTACAGAAATACATTATCTGTATTTAGAAAGAGAATAAAGGCAGATTAAATTAAAAAGTCATATAACTTGGAAGGGACTTGGGCCATTTAATGCATTTTTTTAGTTCCAAGGCAGAAATGACAGATTAAAAAAAATCATTCCCTTAAACCTCATCATGGAGCCTTTCCACTCTTCTTAAGCAATCCTTCACAAAGCTTTACTAGATTTAACATTGGAAAGTGGTTTTATCCCCAGTGTTCAATACATGTTTAGTATTCATCTTTAATGTATATCTTCAGTATAAAACTACTTGTCCTTTTCATCTGGGGAGATGATAACAAGTTTGCCTGTCTTGTGTCTGGAAGGTAGTTGAAGAGTGTTCTCATTCCCCTCTAGATGAAGTAACTTCAGTTTGTTCTGTCTTTTCACATGGTTTCCAGACTTCTGCTGTTGTTTGCCCTCTGGATTCTTTCCAGTTGGTCCACTTCTTGAAGTAGAGCCTGTGAATGTAGACCCACTGTCTTAACTGAGGCCTTACTACTCCAAAGTAGAAAGGATTACTTTGTTTTTCCAGCTGTCTTTTATGCTGGTACATTTTAGGCATAGTGGTATGGTGGTGTCCACAGAAGTTGGCATTGTTGTCTGCAGTGAACTTTGGTAATGTCTGTAGGTTTGTGGGTTTTTTTTTTAAATGCTGATTCCTGAAGTGATTACTTCTTCCTATTTCTGTACCTTCACAGCTTGGTATGTATGTATGGCAGTAACTGTAGCTACAAAATTGGATAAATGGACTGAAATTCATTAAGAACCTCAAATGTGAGGTATTACACTTGAGCAGTACTGAAGTGCTCCTGCCTGCCCATGCATATAAAAACATGTGCTACCAACTTTGCTTTGGGAGGTCATGGGCTGCAGTCTAAACTTGGCCAGAGTCCAGATGTTTTAAATCTTACATTCAAAGATCTTGTATTTTGATATTGCTCATAGCAAAGCCCATTCCCCTGTGATTGTACATAGTGTGTACTGGAAGTTGGAAGGAACTGCTGAGGAGCAAGACACAGGAATGTTTTAAATTGATGTTGCTGAACATCAATTGAGCATTTGATACTAACATTGTGTCATGGTTTAACTAGTTAGTTAACTAGTAGGACACTACTCTTGGATGTAATCCTTTCTAAAACTAGTATGCCTTAGTTAAGAACATTTTGAATTTATATTCTTGTCCAATATATTTGTAGACACCATGAGAGTATCAAATTGTCTTGTATCCAAAACAGGTCTATGTGGTACTTCCTGCCTGACTCTATTTGAATCAAAATCAGTAATTCAGTAATTAGATCAAATTACTGAATTACAAAATCATTTAGGTTGGAAAGAATCTTTAAGATCGAGTCCAACAGTAAACCTAACATTGTGTTATGGCCTAACCCCAACCAGAAAATAATCACCACACAGCTGCTCACTCACTCCCACACAGTAGGATGGGGGAGAAAATTGGAGGAATAAAAGTGAGAAGTCATGGGTTGAAATAAAAGTAGTTTAATAGGTAAAGTAAGAGCTGCACACACAAGCAGAGCAAAACAAGGAGTTCATTCAACACTTTTGGTGAAGAGATTCTTCCTAACATCCAGTCTAAACTTCCCCAGGTGCAAACTGAGGCCATTTCTAATCCTATCACTTGTTGTGGAGAACAACCCCCACCTTTCTGCAACGTCCTTTCACGTAGTTGTAGAGAGTGATAAAGTCTCCCTTCAGCCTTCTCCAGGCTAAACAACCCCAGCTCCCTCAGCCACTCCTCACAACTTGTGCTCCAGACCCTTCCCAGCTCTGCCCTTCTCTGGACACGCTCCAGCACCTCAATGTCTGTCTTGTGTTTGGTTTGGGACCCTCACTACAGTGTTTGAGGTGTGGCCTCACCAGTGCCCGGTACAGGGGGACAATCACTGCCCTAGTCCTGCTGGCCACACTGTTCCTGATGCAGGCCAGGATGCTGTTGGCCTTCTTGGCCACCTGGGCACACTGCTGGCTCATATGAAGCCGGCTGTCAAATAACACCTCAAGTCCTTTTCTACCAGGCAGCTTCCCCAAGACCAACTTGGTGTCATCCGCAAACTTACTGAGAATGCACTTGATCCCTAGTCCAGATCATCAATAAAGTTGTTAAAGAGAACTGGCCCCAGTACTGACCCCTGGAGAACACCACTTGTGACCAGACACCAACTGGATTTAACTTCATTCACCATGACTTTTTTAGGCCCAGTCATCCAGCGAGTGTATTACCCAGTGAAATGTATGCCTGTCCAAGCCATGAGCAGCCAATATCTCCAGGAGAATGATGTGGAAAGTGGTGTCACAGCAACGGGGAAGCTTGAATGAGCTTAGATATTACTGTAGGTGGTTTGAAGTAAAGCTTATCTCATGAATTTGCAGTCTTTAGTTGCAGGCTTGCTGTTTGCATCTAGATAAAAAGAATGTCAAAACCTCGTGGTAGAGGCATTATATAGTCTTGTGTTTCCTTTTGGTTTGATGGAAATCGATGGAATTTTGCAAAGAGATATTGTGATGTTTGTTTTCTATCAGATCCCAAAGTGTGCTTTTGGGCTATGCCCTTTGCAGATCAAAATTAGAAATTGCCTAGCCCTTGATTTTTGTTTGTATTCTTGTGTATAGAGGAAGCTAGTTCCTGTCAAAAAAGAGGCCTTTATTTCTTTCCTTGTATGAAAGAAACACTTTTTACCTACAGTAGGTTTCTATTGAGCAAATTCTGAAACCTTCAGTATATCTGCGTTGTTCACTAAAAGATGCTTTTGCTTGAGTGATGCTGCGTTCAATCACATTCTTGGCATGAAGTAATGTTTTTCATTAATGCCAAATCTGTGTGAGATGTACTTTGTGCTTAGACTTGCTCACAAATACATTAGACCTCTCTATTTCAGCAACCTAGTTGCAAATCAAGCAGATGAACAAAGAAATGTATTTTTAGATTCAGCAGATCAACTTGCTAAGCACAAACTTAAGTATACACCCTTGGTACACACTCACCCTAACAATAGTGCATCCTCCTTGTAGGTTGGAACTACTAAATGTAATACTGAGAATGACCAGAAAGCTTTGATTCTGTTGAGCCATTCAAAATGATGTGATATTGCTCTGTTTCTGTCTCTCTTCCCATCTTACTGTGCTTATGCTATGATCTGATAAAACACCGGTCTTCAGGGCCTCTGTTTGTAAGACTAGAAAAGCAAATAAGACATGGCTGAGCATCCTGAGGCAGAGAGGCCACTCAAAACCAAATTAAGGGATTCTGACTCATTCACAAGGTGTTCTAGTTCTTTGATTTATACTTCTTGTTTCTCCTGTGTTGCATCAGTTCACTGCATGCTTGGATCAGCAGCATGTCTTCCCACAACCTTGCAGTAAGCTAGGCTTTTAATCTTTAGTATTTCTTCTGCCTCAGAAACCCTTCCCAAGCAGAAATGTTTGAATTGCAAATCAAAATAAAGGTGGGCAATAGTGGAGGCACAACATGAATGCTGCCATCCCATACACTTCACTTTTGCCTGATTATGATAGGAAACTTGTAGTGGAGTTCAGTTGTATGTTGTGCTGATATGGTCAAAAGTGCAGTATTTTAGGCTAGTATCACTGCTACTGTTAAGAACCTCTTTATTTAATTTTCATTAATTTATTATTTTTGAGACTTATTCATATAACCTGAAAAAATTTAAAACTATCTGCATTATTCTGTAGATATCTGCATCTTCCTGTAGCTTCCAGGAGGAATTTGTGTGTAAAGTGTATTACGGATTTGTGTCTGGCTTCATATATAACCGTGTATGTAAATATGCATCACAGCATACTTCTCTTTCGTGTTCTACAGGTTAGTATCTGCTGGAGCTACTAAAGTTTATGCCATTCTTACTCATGGCATATTTTCTGGTCCTGCTATTTCTCGGATTAATAATGCATCGTTTGAGGCTGTTGTGGTAACTAACACAATCCCCCAGGAAGAGAAAATGAAACATTGTCCAAAAATTCAGGTACAGTGATGTTTGTCATCTGTTTCAACTCTGGGTTTGTATTTTACTGTTCACTGATGCTAGTATTATTGCTTTGAGAGCAATAATAATAATTTTCTAAGATATTTTGTGTAGCTGTGTTTACAGAACATCTTGCTAAAATGTGCCAAAGAACTGTTTTAAGGTGATTCGTGTAGTACACTGAAGTGTTGCAAAATATTTGGTGCTTCCAACAGATTGAGTATGCCTGAGTGAAAGAGTGGCAAATGTAACATTTTGGGGGCAGGGGAGTGGGTGGTTGTTTTCAATTTTTTTATCAATATTAATTGTACAATATTTGTATGCAGGAACTGTAGTGAAGTTATTGTGGATGCCACAGAAACCTTAGACAACTTCATTTTCTTTTTCATTTTAATACACTAATGAAAATGCTCAAGATAATGACGGCATGTGTTTCTTTTCAAAAACCAAACTAAAAATACAAAGCTGACTTATGTCAGTAGCTTTTACATTAGATTGTTCTGGAAAGTCATGTGTCCCTTTTGGAGGTTTTTCCTTAGTACAGAGTGGAGGAAAGCATAGAAGATGGCTGTTTTTTTTAATGTAACATTGAATTTCTAAAAAGCTTAAAATTTATTTAGTATTTATTGAAACAAGGTAGGCACTTAAAGGATATAGTTCCCTTTAAACGGTATTTGTGTCAAGTGAACACTGCCACCTGATGGCTAGAATAGGCTTTTTTTTGACAACGTGCCCTGTGCCAGAGGTAGTCAGTAATATGCCTGTGCACCAATCTTATTCAATGTGTTCCTGCTCATTTTTTGAGTTTGCACTTTGTATTAATGCAGTTCCTATGTATATGTTCAGTCTACAAGAGGTAAGAGAGTACAATGGTAAATTGAATGTGCTTGTATGTTTATAAAACTATATAGTTCATTGGTTTGGGCATCTTATAAAACTTATTTTGTTGATTATTTATTTTAGTTTATTGACATTTCCATGATCCTGGCTGAGGCAATTCGAAGAACACACAATGGTGAATCTGTGTCCTACCTGTTCAGTCATGTCCCCTTGTAACTGCAGGAGCTTACACTGCATCTTTGCCAAGGCCCTTCATCTAGCGCTGTTGTTTTCAACAATGCATCTCAACCACTAGAAATTACTATATTTGTACAATTCCAGAGCTTCTGTGTTTAATTATTATATTTGCCTTGTAATTACCATTTGTTCTTTGTAAATGTGCAATAAATCTCCATCTTGCAGAAACTTTATAAATTCCCTCGAGAGTCTGGAAGTCTTGTGTGTTGCGTAATTTCTTTTATGTGCCTATCCTCACTTTCTGCTAAACTGCTGCTTCTGATCAGTTTTTCTGTGCCGAACTGCAAACTGTTCATAGAACTTAATGAGATCTATGCATGTAAGAGCATTTTTTTTTAAACACTAAATGCTGCAGGCTTGGGTATCTTGTGTCTATTCATCTGTCAGGCTAGCAGCTGTTGGGTTTTGTTTTGTTATGTTTAACTACCATGAGTAATATTTTGTAAGCCCTAACAAAATGTAAACTTCATGTTAATTTTGAGGAACTGTTGACACGTACATAGTATTGACTGTTTCACATACTTCATGTTCTTTTTCTTCACGAGATACAGGTGACTGCTGTTTTCTTTTGTAAAGCTCTCATTACGTTATTGTTCATTTAACATCTGTATAGTTACTGTTTACAATTATAAGATTAATGTTTTGGTATTCCTGGGATGATTAACTTGATATATTTCAATAATAAGGACCAATCTTTAATCATGACCAGTTTGGTTTAAATTTTTTTTTACTGTAGTTTTTGACATTCCTTGATTGTGAGCATATAAATCACTTCATAGCAGTTTTCCTGTTAATAGTGTAAAGCTTCCCTCTGAAAAGTACCAACAACAAATTTAAGCACACTTATATTTATACAAGCTGGTCTCTACCCACATTTTCTGGATTAAAAGTATCTGGAAATACTTTGGTTTTTTTCAAGCTGCACAGTTAATAGAGCTTCAGGCTTCTATTACAAAGTACCACAGTACTTTTACTGTGCAGCCAGTGGTCAATGACAGACTAACTAGTCTTGAGTACTTTAACATTACAGAATTAAAATCATTATGAAAACATTTTCCCCTCTTGTGTGCTGGGAAAGCTTATGGTTAAGTACTGGTAATCCAGTCAGTAATGGGTTCGGGGTGGCGGGGGAGGGGGGGAACCATAATATTGTAATTTTAGGTCCTTGAATCCTTCTATAGAGAGTTTTCAGTCTTTCTGCTAGAAAGGGAGAGTTTGTGTGTATTAAGATACTGTTTGTAGTTTTCCCATGATCTAGATGCACAATTTCAGGTAGGAAACAGTTGTTAATTACAAAAGCACTGGCCATACTTGAGAGATGCTTCTTTGCTATGGAGCTGCATTAAAAATAGCCTTATTCCATCCTACCTTGCTTATTCTGGGATATATTTATCATTACAAAATGTATTACAAAATGGATTTTCCTATTCCATTTAAGACAGTCTTCAGAGAAACTATTCTTTTGGTTTCTCTGAGAATGAATCAAAATGGTCTTCTTCTGGTAACTTTCTATTTCTTCTGTGAGTTTCTCTTTCTGATATGAAAATGAGTAAAACAGAATTTCACCTCTACTGCTTTGTGTTGAATTCAGAAATGGGATATATAAGGCATTGTGATGACAATAGAGCTCAGCCACTAGCTCTCAGAGGAATTCCTCATTACAGTTGAATTTTCAAAGTATGTTTATAACACAATGGAAATAAATTTTACGTTATTGTTTTATTTCGTAAAGCAATTGTTGAAATGTAAGAATATTTAACCTATTGTCTTGAAAATATTACTTTACAGTTAAATTGCTAACCCCAAGTCTGTGGTCACATAATTATACCGAAGTTTAGACCTTATGTATACCTTCTGGTAATATAGTGGACATTATCGATTCAGGTGCCTTATACATCAGACCTTTGTTATAAACAAAATGCTGAATTGTTTGCCTTTACTGCGCACAAATATTACAAATAAGTCTTGAAGATTACTTGTGCCAAGAGGTTGCTTGTATTATTATTTTGATACTCTTCTTTTTTTGAAGACTATACCCTGCACAGGTCAAATAGGGAAGAATGTAGACACTGATCCTCATGCAAACCTTGCTCATAAATCATTCTCCAGCTGTCTTGAATGTAAGGATGAACTGTTAATCACACCAGACTGGTACACATCCTTATAAGATCATCCCTCTCCTTTTTATGATCTGACAAAAGGAACATAAACTCCCAATGGAATTTAAACACTGAGTTCACACTTTATGAGAAGTATAAGTTCTTATTTCTCAGATTGTTTTAAGCAAACCCACTCAACTGCATTTAACAGGATGAAGTGGGGGAAAGAGCAGAAGGAAAGCACTGAATTAAGATTACAGTGTTTGCTGTATTCTAGACCCTTGAAATTCTTAGGATTCACCTATAACTCTTCATAACAGCTCTGTGAAAACCCCATCCATTTTGACAAAATTAAAAGGCATGAAAACAGAAAATTGTGAGGTGTTTGTTTAATGATCCCTGGTCCATGCTGGGATTCTCCTCTGAAGATCAGATGACAGTTCAGATCTGTGGGAAAGCTGGATGAGGCTTTGAGCAATCTGGTCTAGTAGAAGGTGTCCCTGCCCATGGCATGGGATCTTTTAAGATCCCTTCCAACCCAAACCATTCTATGATATATGAGTTCACAAGTGCTCAAACTCCCTCTGAACGTGCCAGTTGCATGATTTGTTGGCAGTTCCTGCATTAGCGTGCACCATCACTTCCAGTGTTACTGCCTTACTGCTTCTCCTCCTAAGGCAGTGATGCCCTGTCTGGCTACCCTGTTTTATTGAGTGCTCAGGAAAGGGGAAATGGAACAGGTGTAGTTGCATTACTTCCCTGGAGAGCTTGCAAGCTAACTGCATTCTATTTCAGGTAATTCTGGATACTTACTGCTTCCCTTGAGGTAACTCACTTTCAATGACTGGCCAGTGTTGTTTCAGATAACCAGAAGGGTTAAGTGTGTCAATAGCAAGAGGAGGTTTAAAGAAAACATTGGGCTGATACTTGTTCAAGATGGTCATCTGACTAACAGGGATGAGGAAAAAGCAAATACATTCAATGTATTTTTTGCTGCAGTTTTTATTTAAATTGATAGACCTTGCGGTGCCTGGTTCCCTGAGTTGGAGGACCACAAGTGTGGAAACAGTGACTTTCCTCTTCTGGATACTGAAACTGTAAGGGCCTAGCTGTATCAGCTAAATGTTCACAAGTCTATGGGGCCTGATGGGATCCATCCTAGAGTTCTGAAAGAGTTAATGGATGTTATGGCAACCATTCTCTCAATCATCTATTCAAGGTACTGGGATTCTGGGAAGGTCCCTGCAGGCTGGAAGCTAGCCAGTGTTATTCTAATCTACAAAAAGGGCATGAGGGAAGACCTAGGGAGCTACAAACCTGTAGTCTAACCTCACTTCCTGGAAAAATTATGGAGAATATTATACTGGGTGCTATTGAAAAGCATTTAAAAAACAATGCAATCATCAGGCACAGTCAACGTGGGTTCACAAAAGGCAAGTCCTGTTTAATTTGAAGGGAAGGTGGTAGATGTAGGTTTTTTTGAATTTTAGTAAGGCTTTTTGTTACTGTCCCTCATAGCATCCTTCTGGACAAGTTGTCCAGCAGCAGGATGAGTGGGTTCATGGTCTGCCGAGTGACAAACTGGCTGTAGGGGAGAGCTCAAATGGTTGTGGTGGCTGGGACTACATCTGGCTGTCGACTGGTCACCAGCAGCGTTCCTCAGGATTCAATCCTAGGGCCATTCCTGTTCAATATATTTATCAGTGATCTGGGTGCAGGGGTTGAATGCACCATTAGCAAGTTTGCTGATGATACCAAACTGGGAGGTGCTGCTAACTCACTTGAGGAACAAGAGGCCTTGCAGGACCTAGATATATTGGAGCATTTGACTATGATTACTGGGATGGAATTTAACAAGTCTACATTCCAGATTCTGCACTTGGGACAGAGTAATGCTGGGCACAGATATAAAGTGGGAGGGGAGTGGCTGGAGAGAGAGGCCCTGCAGAAAGGGGTCTGGGCAACAGCCGGCTCCATGTGAGTCAGCAGTGCCCTGGGAGGCAGGAGGGCAAACTGCATCCTTTGGTTCATCATACACGGCACGACCAGCTGGTCAAGTGGGGATTGTCCTGCTTTATTCAGCATTAGTGCAGCCTCACCTCAAATGCTGTGTGCAGCTCTGCGCCCCACCGCTGAAGAAGGATGTGAAAATTCTTGAGTACATACAGAGGAGAGCAACAGAGATGGAGAAATGTTTGAGAGGAATGTCCTGTGAGGAGTGGCTAAGGACTTTGGACTTGTCTAGTTTGGATAGAAAGAGGCTGAGGGGCAACCTCATCTCTCTCTACAGCTTCCTGAGGAGGGAAAGTGGAAAAGGAGAAGCCTATCTCTTCTCCCTCGTATCCAGTGATATGACACATGGGAATTGTTCGAAATTGCATCAGGGGAGGTTCAGACTGAATATTAGGAAGCGTTTTTTTACTGAGAGGGTGGTCAAACACTGGAACAGGCTTCCTAGAGAGGTGGTCGGTGCCTCAGGCCTGTCAGTTTTTAAAAGGCCTGTGAAAAAATTACATGCTTTAACTTTTGGTCAGCCCCAAATTGGTTAGGCAGCTGGACTAGATGATCCTTGTATGTCCCTTCCAACTGAAATCCTATTCTGTTCCATTCCGTTCCATTCGCCAGACGCCTTTGTTTTCAACAAAAAGTTTTAACCTGTTGTAAACAACAAACGGTCAATCTTGCCACTGAGGTAGCCTCAGCTTTCAGAAATGGGAAAGCCTGTCTCTGTGACACCGGTGGCTCTATTGGTTGTATGCTGGCGCATGGGGAAGTTGGGTAAGCTCTTAGTGCAGATCTGTGAGGGTCTCCTTCCTCACCAGAGCTCTGAGAGCTTCCTCTACCCATTTCTGTAGGCCAGTCTCCCCTACTGTTGTCTTGTTTATTGTTTTGGTTATTTTTAGTGCCTGAAAATGCATTTCTGCAATCGTTGTTAGCAGGGTTTCTACATTTTTACATCACTTAAAGCTTCTGCAAGTGACTGTGTTATCATTTCCTCAAATTTGCTATCCATTTCTCTTTGTGGTTCTTTTCGTACATCTGCCTACATCAGTTTGAAGAGTCAACTCA